TTTCCCTTTCTTTTTCCTTTTTCTCCAGCTTTTCTCCTTCAACAATAAGTGTTTGACTAGCTAATGTGTAATGAAAACCCTAAGAGAAGTGTCCACATGTATGGACACGAATGTTGCATCTGATATTTTGAGCACATATGGCAATGCTACAACATGTATGCCCACCAATTAAATATAAGTTATTGCTAAATCCTCATAAAAACAGTCATTATTTTAAGTTATAACGTCCAAAAACTAGCACAATATAATTATGCGATCGCATCTGGGTTTCAAATGTAAGCCATTGCTAAATCCTCAAAAAAAAAGTCATTATTTTAAATTATATAACATCCACAAACTAACACAGTATAATTATGCAATCGCATCTAGGTTTCATTGCTTGGTCCAACTGAGAATCTACCCTAACATAGGGAGGGAGGGAGCAGATATGACACTCTTTAAGTTAAACAAGTTCAATATCGAGTCAAATTCAATCTTGTGATACCACAACATGTTTGATAAGCATGAATATGCAGATGCATAAAAAATATGTTCTCGTATTTTTATGTGGTTTCTAATACTATTTTATAGTGGATTAAGTTGATGCATTTATGTGATTCCAATTTTTATCTCTAAAATTCTTAAGAGGCGTTAGTGGCCAATAAATAATTGAACAGTGTCCCAAATTCCATGTATCCAACTCATATCTGGTAGTGGTACTTCTAATCTTCGAATGCATCCATGAACCATAGATGATCATTCCTTAAAGGTGGTGTCTCTATAAGGCTTTTGGTTGCCTAAACACCCCCTAATTCAGACAGCAAACTAATCAAAGATATTCCCAAAACAGGTACAGCAACATGCAAAACAAGGACTTTAGCGTTATCCTAGTTAAGTTCTAAATCTACCCTTACCCTAATAAGTTGTGCAGAAACTGAACTTTCTGATGAGGAACGATAAGATGGAGATTTCTTGACAAAACTTATTTCGATAAAAAAATAAAAAAATCACAACTAATAAAATTGCATTCTCATTTAATAAAGAAAACAGATACAAATGTGGGCTTCAAACCTGGATATTTTACATGTTGGCAACTTATATGTCTAAAACTAGTTGTGATTCATATGCAGAGTTTCAAACATTTTTCTCTCCTCCTCTCAAATGAAAAGCATAATCTTATTTATATAAAAAAACCAAGAAGATAAGGGAAAATATAACTAAAGAAAAGAGAGTACATCAAATAAATTCCTAACTAAAAAAGAGATAACATCAGATAAGATCCTAACCAAATGAAATGATAAAATCAAATAAACTATTAACTAATTTATCTAATCCTAATTGTACTAAACCAGATCCAATCTTCATCAAATCTTTTCCATATCAAGATCTAAATCTGTATTTTGTCACTTTCTCTATTGTAAGTTTGTAACAAAAAGGGGATAGCGGATAAAGAGAATATCCACAATGCTCTAGGGTAAATGGTAACACTTTAAAGTATTCCTGAAAAGATACTAACTTTTACCTAAGAAGAAATAAATGAACTATGTTAATGTTCCCTTGACCAGACCAAACTTAATTAAATGAATCTCAGAGTTCTTACACAGCCATGCACTTTCGTTCAAATAAAAATGAAATAGACTCTCCTAGTTTAGGTAAAGGATAAGAAAAACTTATTCTTACCCTAAACACTTGGATAGCCGAGTTTAACATTTCATATTTCCGCCCCCAAACCAAATGACGGTTCTCATTATCCGAACCATAAATAGAATGACATTCTTGTCCACATCCTTTTGCTTATCAGTCATCCTTTAAAGTTTCCTTTAACCCGCATTTTGGTCTCTACAATGCAAAACACTCCTTCATCTTCTATCTTCTACTCCCTCTATGCTGTCAAGAGGCTCAAGACTCAACCTCTCAAGCTAAATCACTAACCCCTTTACATTTCTAAGAAAGGAACTGAAACAAAAGCCAAAAGCATTTTGATGTTGAATATAAAAGATACAGTATGTGAAAATATGCATAAGATATTGTCATCTAGTAGTCAAAATTCCTATAAAGCTCCACATAGTATCTATGATACTTGAAGGAGAAAAGAAAGATTCAATTTTGTATCAGTAAATAACTGATAACCATCTCAACATAATAAGTTGATCAACAATAGCAATTCTAACTTGTTCGGAGGAATTTTAAGGACGCATGGTTAAAATAGATCGTTTTTAACTCATCTAAGCAACACAAACACTGACTAGTTTTAGTGTTGAATATGTAATATGTACTTTAATCACTGTTTTAAATATCGGCCGATAATAGATATTATCGGCCGAGTTATCGGATTTGGGAGCTCTCCGCTAGGATAAATTGGATTTTTAATCGGTTATCGTTTTTGTAGGTTTATCGGCGATTTATCGGCGTTATCGGCACTTATTGGCCGATAAGTAAGACTTTTTTATCGGGATTATCGGGATTATCGGCCCATTTTGACAAACATTATATTTTTTCAAGGCTATGATGCAAGTTTCGCTTTCTACAATTTGTTAGTGATTCTAAACATTATGATTTACATTTTGGTATGTTTATATTTCATTAAGTATGATTAGATTATATTTTTTAATTGTTATATTATATATACACATCATCCAGTATATCACTCCGATAAATACTACTTATCCCCGATATATCCCCGATTTCCGCTATCCGATAAGAATTTTGGATGTCCGATAAATCCCCGATAACCGATATTTAAAACCTTGACTTTAATAAGTATCTTCAGGTTGTAATCAATAGTAATCAATAACAAACTTTTACACTCTACCGAATAAACTAATCAGCTATAGCAACTTCTCATTGTTCAAATAAATTTTATAGCATTTAAGCAATGCAATGCGGACGAAACACAAGCAGTCATCAGCTTTAGTGTCAATATTGCTTGGCTAACATAAAAAATTATAGTAACCTTCTACCACAACCCCACCAAATTCTCCATTGATGCATTCAACTCCTTAACATGCTTCGTGGACCGAGCAAGATCCCAGTAAGCACCCTGATCCCCTCCTTTAACTCCCTAATCCTAACATAAGCCTCCACAATCTCCCTACCCAAACCCTACAACCACCCCTGAGCCTCAAAGAACAAATCCAACCTTAGCGAAATCTCTCTAACCAAATGCATCTCCACAGTATCAAGATATTGCGTCAACCTCTCTTGCAGCGGCAAATTCTCGTCCTTCGACGGTGAGAACTAGCACATCCTCGAGCACAAAATCCTCCTTAAAGAAAAGCACAGGAACTTCATGGAAGCAAGTGATGAGGGTATTGCCACCTCTGCTAACATGGAGAGAAGTAGGGTTAGGTTTCGTTGAGAGAGTGGTTGAGGATGTCCTTGAATCGGGCATAGGGTTCGGAGATGAGATGGGTGTAGGGGCGAAGTCAGAGCAGGTGATGTCAGGGAGGGGTGTAAGCAGCGACAAGCAGAGAAAGGCCAGAGGGACCAATAGGAGGAGGATGTTGAGGAGCTAGGATTGCTGAGGATGGAGAAGACATTTTAGATAGAGGCAGAGAAAGAATCAAAGTAGTGATCAGAGAAGGAACAGGTTCTGGAGGAGAAGGTGATGACCTCATTGACCAGAGATTAGAGGTTAGCATTAGAACCATAGATGATCACTTCCTTAAAAGGTTACGTCTCAAGCTTTTGGTCATATAAAACCCCTAATTCAGACGGCAAACTAATTAAAGATACGCTAAAAAAATGGGCATAGCAAGATGCAAGGCAAGGACTTTGTCTTTATCCTAGTTAAATTCTAAATCTACTCTTAACCTAATAAGTAGCATAGAAACTAAACTTTCTCTATTGTAACAAAGAGGGGATATCAGATAAAAAGAATATCCACAATGTTATAGAGCGAACGGTAAAATTGGTGAAACGCTTTAACTTAAATATTCCTGAAAAGGTAGTAACTTTTACCTAAAAAGAAATGCATGAACTATATAATGTTGCTTTGACCAGACCAAACACCATAAAATGAATCTATCAGTTCTTACACAGTCATGCACCATGTAAGAGTTATCTTAGTTCACATAAAAATGAAATATAGTCTCCTAGTTTACGTAAAGGCCAAAGTAAGAAAAACTTATTCTTACCCTGAACACTAGGATAATCGAGTTTAACATCACCTATTTTCACGCCCAAACCAAAGGATGGTTCATATTATCCTGAACATAGTTGCACAAAACCCGGTTCATTGTTCACGGGACGGGATCGGAAGCATGGTACGCCACTTATTACGAATAGGTTATAAAAGGATAGACGGTACGCCAAGGAATGTGGTGTGTTTTAGGTTTGTTTTCAATGTAGAAATTTGAGGTTTTGCAAGAATCAAATTTAAGAAATATGTTAGTTGATATCAATAATGATACAATAATCTTGAGAATCATTTTCCATTTGTGTGTACTTATTTGATTAATTTCTCACGCTATTTTATTGTTTATTCTTATGAAAAATAGTTACTTTTTTTAAAAGCTTAACTGGATTGAATTCTAAATCGGGTAGCTAGAGGTGGTGAACTGGATCCAAAGTGAATTTAGGACCATTGAACCTAGGTTGTGGTTAGCTATAGCATCCCATGTTCCCAACAATTATGATCCCAAACGACAACAAAAGTAAATCAACTACAACTAGAATCACACTCTTGCAGATCCGCATCCTTTAGCTTATCGGCCATCATTTAAAATTTCGTTTAACGCGCATTATGGTCTCTACAGTAAGTCATGCAAAATACTCACTTATCTTCTATCTTCTACTCCCCCTACGCTGTCAAGACTCAAACTCTCAAGTGTAATTACTAAACTCTTCCCTTTTCTAAGAAGGCAAATGAAAATAGCAAATAAAAAGTACGTTGACGTAGGATATAAAATATACATTCTGTGAAAATATGCTTAAGATATTGCCAGCTGCTATTCCAAATTCCTATAAAGCTCCATACAGTATCTCTAATACTTGAAGGGAGAAAAAAAGAGTTCACATTTTTGAGTTGGTAAATAAATGATAACCAATCGCCACAGAATGAGCTAATCAACTATCGCGATTCTAACTTGTTCAAAGGAATTTTAGGGACATTATGGATTAAATGAATCATTTTAGCTGAGTATGTGATATGTACTTCGATGAGCATTTATAGTTCAGGTTTTAATCAGTAATAATCGATCACAAACCTCTGCACTCTACAAAATAAATGATTGACCGTATCAATATTGCTCGAATGAATTTGATAGCATTTGAAGCAATGCAATGCAAACAGAAACACAAGCACTCACCAGCTTCAGTGCCGACATCGCCTGGCTAACATAAAGAATAAGAGTAAGCTTCTGCTGCAACCCCACCAAATTCTCCCTCGCCGCATTCAACTCCTGCACCTGCTTTGCCGACCCGACAAGATCTCCAGTAAGCACCCTGATCCCCTCCTTCAACTCCCTAATCCTAACACAAGCCTCCACAATCTCCCCATCCAAACCCTGCAGCTGCCCCTGAGCCTCAAAGAACGAGTCGGACCTCAAGGAGATCTCCCTCACCAAATGCATCTCAACCGTGTCAAGATACTGCGTCAGTCTCTCCTGCAGCGCCAAATTCTCGTCCTCCGATGGCGAGAAAGGGCACGCCGACTTGAAAGTAGCCCCGTCCTCTAGGGAAAAATCCTCTTTGAAGAAAAGCGACGGGACTTCTCGTAGACAGGCAACGAGGGCGTTGCCGCCGCCGCCGGAGACATCTAGGGTTAGGGTTTCATTGAGGGAGTGGTTGACGATGTCCTCGAACCGAGCGTAGGGTTCGGAGACGACGGAGAGGTAGGGGGTGTGGAGCTGGGGTTGTTGAGGATGGAGGAGAGGTTTTGGATGGAGGCGGAGGGAGAGTCGAGGTGGTGATCGGAGAAAGATCGCGTCCTCGAAGAGGACGGCAATGACTCCATTGATGGAGCTTGGAGTTCAGGGTTTGGATCTTGGATCTGGTACAGAGGAGATTTAGATCTGAAGAGTGATTTTCTTTTTCTTTTTTTTCTTTTTTTTTCCTTTTTTTTTTCTTTTTCCCCCCTCAGTTGAGCGAGGAGGAGGTGGAGGTGGGGTGTGATGCTCTGCCAGAACCCGTTAACTATGAGAATGGTGGTCGATACACGGCTGTATATCAGATTACACCCCTTCTGAGTTTGGATGATTGCCAGATGATCCCCAATAGTTTTAAAAAGATCGAAAAATCCCCCTTAAGTTTAGTTGTTATATTCATTGTGGATGGATCCAAACAGTTGGGAGGTTTTAATATGCCTCCCTTGGTCTTTTGATTTTGGATTGGGTTATTAAAAGAAAGTTTAGTTGTTATCGGAGAACCCCTTTCACTTTTAAGATTTTTCAGAAAGCCCTCCTGAAAGGTATAATGATAATTTTCACTTGTAAAAATACCCTCTTACGTAATTATACCCACCCTGCAAAAATTAGTGTGAATGCTCTTCAGAGAGTTTTATGATAAAATATTAAAGTTAAGGTTTTTATGATATTATAGAGGTTAGGGGGGTTATCTGATAACCATCCAAAGTTAAGAGGGGTTTTCTAAAATTTAGCCTTTATACATGCTACAAATATAGTGGCTACTGGCTACTAAAATGTCATTAGAGTTTGTTACTTGTGTAGTTTTGATTTTGGAAATTAGGTAAGCTATCTGAAAATATTTGATAATTTTTCAGAAGAGTGAGAGAAAAAAAATATAGAATTTGCCTTAATTCCCCCATGGGTTTCATTCTCTTTATATAGACAATTTGTACATGGTAGGGATTACAACAGATCCTAACAATCAGATCCTATATAACAGGCCAATCCCTACAATCAAGCTATGCCATGATTTACATGCCTATAGGATTGCTAACTACCTTGTTTACAATCCCTACAATCAAGCTATACATGCCTATAGGATCGCTGACTACCTTGTTTACATTCCCCCTCAATCTTAACCATGACAAGGTTCAGATTGTGTCGTAGGCGATCAAGCATGTAGCGAGTGGCTGGCTTGGTGAATCCATCCGCTACCTGATCATTGGAAGATACAAATCGAACGTCAAGAGTGCCCAATGCAACCTTCTCCCTGACAAAATGGAAATCCACCTCTATGTGCTTCGTTCGTGCATGAAACACTGGATTAGCTGTTAAATAGGTAGCTCCAAGGTTATCACACCATAATACTGGTGGTCGCGGCTGACATACATCCAATTCTTTCAGCAAGGATTGTACCCACGTTGCTTCAGCTGTCCCATTAGCCAAGGCCTTGTACTCAGCTTCAGTGCTGGACCGGGATACTGTGGGTTGCTTGCGTGAGCTCCATGAAATCAGGTTGGGACCTAGAAATACTGCAAAACCTCCAGTAGACCTGCGATCATCCATGCAGCCAGCCCAATCGGCATCTGTAAACACACTCAGAAGTGTAGAGTTGGAGCGCCGGAGGTAAAGTCCCGTAGCAGCTGTTCCCTTGACATATCTTAAGATACGTTTGACTGCCTCCCAATGTACATCAGTGGGCTTGGAAAGATATTGACATACCTTATTAACGGCAAAAGAAATATTTGGCCTTGTTAATGTAAGATATTGCAAACCTCCTACCATGCTTCGATATTTGAAAGCATCATCATCATTCAGCACTATTCCACAATCATGAGCAAGCTTATCTGTGACAGACATGGGGGTTGAAACGCTCTTACAATTCTCCATGTGAGCTCGGTGAAGAAGGTCAGAAGCATATTTGTGCTGCATCAAGGTGATTCCCCCTGAATTGTAGACGACTTCAATCCCTAGAAAATAGTGCAGCTGTCCAAGATCTTTGATCGGAAATGAGGAAGACAGGGCGCGCAGCAACTGATCAACTGCTGATTGAGAAGAGCCAGCAACCACGATGTCATCCACGTACACAAGCATGTAGATAGTGACGCCCCCATGATGAAACAGGAAAAGAGAGGTGTCGGCCTTGGAAGACTGAAAACCAAGCTGGAATAATCTGTCGCTAAGTCGTGAAAACCAGGCACGAGGCGACTGTTTTAGGCCGTAGAGCGCCTTTTGGAGTTTGCACACATAATGAGGCCGACGGGAATCCTCGAAGCCAGGGGGTTGCTGCATATAAACTTCCTCATCCAAGAAGCCATGAAGAAAAGCGTTGCTTACATCAATCTGTCGAAGTTGCCATCCTCGTGACATAGCTAGGGCAAGAATCAAGCGAACCGTTGCAGGCTTCACAACCGGACTGAAAGTATCCTGATAGTCAACGCCATATCGCTGAGTAAAACCTCGTGCAACTAGCCTCGCCTTGTGCTTATCAATAGAGCCATCCGGGTGCTGCTTAAGTTTGAACACCCATTTACATCCGACTATATTAACACCAGCCGGCCGGGGAACGAGAGCCCACGTGTTGTTCTTCTGAAGTGCTTCAAACTCGGCTTCCATGGCAGTGCGCCAAACAGGCTCAGCGAGAGCCAGTCGATGTGAGGTGGGCTCGG